TTTATATAGCGCATTATATAGGGGACACTATAGGGGTTATTGAGGGGGATACTAGGAGTTTAGAGTATAGCTCATATGTTAGAGGGTCATGTTCATGGTCCGCAGGGGCGCCCGGGTGTCATTTTGATTCGTTACCCTGACAGCATGTCCTCAGCAACCTCAAAGTCCAAAGATGGCCAAGCAAGGGGCATGGTTCCCAAAAGTGATGACAGTAATAGTGAGAATCGTAGTAATAGTAAGAGTAAACAGTAATCATAACAGCACAGTAATAGTACTAGAGCCCATCCTGAAGTTGAGAAAGCCTTGAACGCTGGCATCCATGATTGGGTTCAGGAGGAGTCGGTGTTGAGGGCTTGCCTAAAGGTGCTACACCCAAAGTGGGGCATTTCTGCAATGCGAGCATAAAGAAAGGGTGGACCGTTGCTTTTTCAAGCCAGAATAAGCTGCTCATAAGTCCATCTCATAGGCTTTTAACATGGGACCCTTGACTTGGTCTCCTCTCTTGTGCAGCCACTGTTCAGTGTCAAAGTGATCAGAAGTCACATCGTTCGGCTTGTGTCTGTGGGCGGCGATGCCTCAGTGATGTCTTTAGACTGTGGGTAGGTTGATGCGGTTTGAGGTTTGGGAATTTGGAAAATTGCAGCTTTGTAAATAGCGAAGAAAGAAGGCCTTGTCAAACCCCCGAGTTCTATGAGTTTCGGGGAGCAGCTAGCTTAAGGAGCAGATCCAGACATATGCAGTTTGAGGGAAACCCTGGCATCCACAGTTTTCGGGAAATCCTACAATTTCTACTAAGCCCAAAGCCCGCCTTGGCCATATTCCCCCCAGTCTCGGTACGCGTGGATGGAGATTTATGGGGCTTGGGGTGCAGGATTTTTGAGCCAGCATGCTTGCTTGCGGGGTTTTCATGGTTGTACACAGGAGTTCTGCCTCAGCATGCTAGGAATTGGGGGCGGGCTGCGTTTTGTCGTCAAAAGTACTGTCCCTATACCCTAAGCCCTACATAGCATATTCCAATCCAAGCTAAACTTCCTTATGCGTGTGCCAAGACGGCTCTGGAAACACTCACAACAATTCATTGCACCTATGCGCTCAGCAGATGTGCGCGTGAAGCGCGCCTTTGATCAACCTCCTTCCTTTGTATATTCGGTATGCCCTTGGGCTTACACCACATTCGTTTTTTGGGGGCACCTAATCTTCTTCATATGACGCGCCATTTGTAGGGAAAAGCACCCTTTCCTAGAAGAACTTCCGTCACCGGGTGAGCTACTTGGACAAGAGGAGTCAGCATAAGCCCCTGAGTAAAGTGGTGCAACCGCAGCAGATAGTTCCCTAAACCAAAAAAGGTTCTAAACCAAGCAAAGCTCAGTACTGACTGACACAAGGCCTCCCGCACCTTCAAACTTCATGAAGCTCAGGCTTTTACAAAGAAAGCCTAACACCGCGTAGTTCCCAGCACTCCTTTGGAAATTAAACCTTCCCGCATCCTACTAATGTCTAGGCTTCAAATTTGGAATTCATTTCCAGGTGTCTTTGACTCTGACTCCAACGTAATCCCCACACATCTAGCTGCGCATCTCTGGAGTCCCTACCCTGTAGCCTCTCGAAATACAAGGGGATAGCGGAGGGTCGGCCTATAGCTGTCTGCATTGTAACGCCAGGTCACTCGACCTTCTTCCATTTCCTCAAGAAGGCGCGCTTCTGGGAGACCGCTCAGCAGAATTACCTTGACATTGTGACCCATGTCTTGGGCATGCATATGAAATGGTTTCAGGAAAGGGGCACACCCAACGTAAAGGAAGAAAGATGGTAAGCATTCCCAACTCCACCTTCATTAGGCCGCCACCACTCTACAGAACAACAAACCACGCGAAGCGCTCGGATTTTGGAGCTTCCGCTCCGACTACGTATACAGGCATCATCCATGAGTGCCTTTCATTAATTGCCCCGGTGCAGTCAGTGTGAACAAGCATGATTATCTGATTGTGGGCCAGCGAACAAAGCATCTAAGCAACATTTTTCAGCTCTCAAACGATTCCTGGAGCTTTTGCCGGGCTTGCGTTCCCTAAACCCTAAACCCTAAACTTGGGTACAGCGGGTGAAGGAAGGCTTTGAGCTTTCAGCGGTGACCTGGAACATACAGTGGCAGGGAGGAGGTCCGTAGTTTCTGTTGTTGTGCTCTGTTGGTAGTTTCCCAAAATAGGGGGACCCCAATATAGACCCTAAGATATTATAATCCTTATTATGAGGGCCCCCAAATAATAATAATACCCTCTAATTCTGGGAAACCTCCATAATAAGGACTATAGAAGGCTTAAGAAGGCTGAACACAATATCAAACTGACCGTCACCTCGCAGGCCTGAAGTTGTTTGTCTCTTCGTTTTCTCTCCGGTTTTCTTGTGGAGGCTGCGAGTAAACCAACTGTACTGGCCTTAGGATTCTTTTAAATTTTGATTATAGTATAACCCTAATGAATATATGAGAAACATTATTTTTTAGTATAGGTCTAAGGAGACTACAGCCAAGTCCAGATCTCAGCCCTTTCACCATGAGCTTAGACTTGAAGCCCGAAACCCCAGTGCTTCATCGACAGCGTTCAGAATGCAAGGGCGCAACAAAGCGGCGGAAGGAAACAGATATGACCAGATGTGTTATGCGCCTATGCTGTACTGGTAGATGCCCTTGATTTTTCATCCCGAAACCCTAAACCCTGAACCCTAAACCCTAAACCCTGAACCCTAAACCCTAAAACCTTGGAGGCTTATCCTGGCTGTAAGCTGAAGCACCTTGCAACCTTCGAGGGCTGGCTTGGGACCCGGCTTGAAGGTCTATAGTTCCCCTTAAGAATATAGGGTTTAGGGTTTAGGGTCATAGTCCCCCTAAGTAGATAGAATATGGGGTTTAGGGTTTAGGGTTATAGTCCCCTTAAGTAGATAGAATATAGGGTTTAGGGTGTAGGGTTTAGGGTCATAGTCCCCNNGGGTTATATGGGGATAATGGCAAAGCAAACGGAAACTATCATTATGGGTTTTATAGGGTATAGAATATTGGGTATATGGGGATCTTATCATAATATACCCAAGCCATGTTTTATCTACTTAAGGGGGACTACATAGGGTGGTGGGTTGTATTCAGGGCATCGTAGGGGGTAGGATTTTGATTCTGAAAGCCTAGTGGCGTTAAGGCAGACCTAAGTGGGTTCCACCACTAAAGACTAAACCCTAAACCCTATAGACCCTAAACCCTACACGACTAGAGAGGTTTAAGCTTCCGTGTTGAGGCTTAGGCTTTTCTGGCCAATCAGGGTCATAGATTCTTGAGTTCTGCAGACTAGAAGGAGATTTGGAGAGTGGAATAGGTCACGGGCCCTTAGCCCTAAACTGTCAGAAGCTTACTTATGAGAAATCTCATGCGAGCTATAATCTAAGTAGAGGGGGTATATAAAGGAATCTATACAAAACTGCTACTATGGTCATTAAGGGGGATACTAGGAGTTTAAACCGTACCCGAAACCCTTAGCTGCTTAGGTGCTCAATGAAAGAGAAGATTTGCTCTGAAATGGTTTAGGGGTTAGGGTTTGTTGAGGTGTCTCTGAATCCTCAACCCTGTACTCAAGAGATGAAATGGAATCCGTTGCTCTGCCCCTAAACCCTAAACCCTAAACCCTAAACCCTAAAGTACACAAAGAGCCTCTCAGGTGCTGCCAGTATGATGACCTACAGAAGCGGAGTGCAGAGGTCCTTGCAAATTGAGTTTTCCGTCAGCTTTCGGGCTTTGGTTTAGGTTGGGTACTGCCCCCACCCAGTAACAGTCTATATTCAGGATCCTATTAGGGGCTATATATAACCATATTATACTTATTATCCAACTGTTAGTGAGGGGGGGCACTACCCAAGGTTTAGGGTTCCAAAAGACGAGGCCGGGCTATCCTGGTTTGGGAAGCTACTCTTGTCCCTGTCAGTCAAGGGCTTAACGCTTGGATGTGTTGTTCTGAATTTTCTCTGGTGTGGCACGTGCCTCCGCCATAGACTCAAATCTGATTGACATTAGGCTGTTAGGCACACTCGAATAGCGAGAGTATAGCGGCTGGGGTGTGCTTGTGTGGTTTTCATCTTGCTGCGCAGTGGTCAGTTGCTGTTCCAGCGTACAGCCCCCCTTAAGTCCATAGAATATGGCTTTGGGTATATTATAAAAAGATGCCCACATATCCCATATTTTATCTACTTACGGGTGACAATCCAGAAAGAGTTGTGTTGCAAAGACGGGATCCGACAATCCGACGGGTACACTTTTGCCTTCCCGACTTCCTGCCGGCATCTTGGACACCGCCAAAGACATACAGTCCCCCTTAAGTAGACAGAATATGGGGCATATGAATATCTTAATAGAGTATATCCAAAGCCATATTCTGTCTACTTAAGGGGGATTATATTTGGATTGCGGAAGCCCTCACACAACAGCTGACCAGCTCCAGTTCCAATATTAGGTTGTAGGCTTTGAGGCCTTCAGCCCTCCCGTCACGTGCGGCGCAAATCTTACTTACTGCCGTTGCCCACCCCGGCATTCTGTACATCAAGTCTGAAGATGATGGGAAGTTGGTAAGGGAACTTGGGGAGTGAAATTCCCATTGCATTACGAAAAGCCGTTCGGGTTGCAGGTAGTCAGCATAGTCATGGGAAGCCTCGCGACGTCACTTCCGCAGCTAACCGCCGAAATTTCTAGATCTTCCCCCAAGCCGACTCAAATTCAGCTCGCCCAAACCTTGAATCTTCCCTCTAATAGAATTTTCACCTGTCGAGATACCTGCATCGCAGCACCCTAATCCCTAAGCCACCAAACCTTAAAAAGGGCACGTGAAGCGCCGCGCCAGATGGATCTGCTCACTGAAGCTCGAGACATCTTTGAGAAGAAGAATGCGATGCCGGTCCTCCCCGTGGATGATCAGGCTGAAGAGACTTACTATACAATAGTTTAGGGTTTAGGGTTTTGTATAATAACTACTGTGGATGATCAGGCTGAAGACTGTCACAGTTCCTTGGGCCCAGGGATAATGTTCAAGGGCGCAAACCTTGGGGGTTCAGGGTTCTGGGCATCAAGTTTTATGTAGGCTTCTATAGGGGCTGCACTTGGGGTATGCGCAGCTAGTCTTTGGAACTCTCCGAGGGGAGGGGGGGAAGTGGATGGCAGTTTTCTGGTTCAAGGCTTGGGTCTGCTGGGCTCAGGGTGTAGAATCCCCCTTAAGTGGATAGACTATGGCCCATGTGGCTTTGGGATGCTTTGGGTAAATCATAGTAAGTTTCCCATATGCTCCATATTCTATCTACTTAAGGGGGACTGTAAACCCTAAACCTTAAATGGTAGTTTCCATTCTCGTGATTTAGGTCGGACATGTCAGGTTGTTCCCTAATCCCTAAACCCTATATAACCCTATATAATAGAGTGGTTTCCATTTTTCTTTTCCAGTATCCCAATATTCCCCCAATATATACCTTATAATTGCTAGAAAAGCCTACGGCTTCGGGTTGGGTGTCACATACTCATACTGCATGCGCTCCTTAATCCCTGTAGTTTCCATTTTCCTTTCCATTATCCCAATATTACCCCAATATTACCGTAGCTAGCAGGTAGATCTCACAGATTTGGCGGGCCTGCGCTGCTGAGAAGTGGGCGGACAGCAATCAACGCCTTCGGGGGGGACTTGAGCCCTTTGACCAACTCAACCTACAAGCCCGGTTTACGGTTTAGGGGTCTAGGGGTCTAGGGGTTTAGGGGTTTAGGGGTTTAGGATTTAGGGCTTAGGGTTTGAAATCACCCCAACTTCAAAGGGCCTCAGAACCCTGCGTCAAGAGCCAAATACACTTCTCTACAGCCTCTACAGAACCTCTACATAACCCCTAATAACGTAACCCCTACATAAGCCCTACATAGCCCCTACATAAGCCCTGCATAAGCCCCACAAAGCCCTTGCATAACCCCTAAAGAACCCCCATGTAACCCCGGTAAGCCCCCCTCAAGGCTCGCCTCGAGAAAGAGTTTGAGGAGATGGATGCTCGCCAGGGCGGAGTTGGGTTTTGGTTGGTAGGATTTAGGGTTGAGGGTAGTTTGAATAAACTAGGGTTTAGGGTTCAGATGGTTCAAGCCCTAAACCCTAAACCCCTAAACCCTAAACCTTAAACCCTAAAAAGGCCAAAAGCCTGTGGTGGGGTTGGATGACCTAAGCCCTGGCCTGATTTCACTTGTGGCCAACTCCTTCAGAGCCAACTCCGCTAAAATTGTTATGGCCATATATAGTAATTTCCCTAGATAGGGGGACCACAATATAGACCCCAATATACTACAATCCTTATTATGGGATCCCCAAAAAAGGGCACCCCTTATTCTGGGACACCCCCATATAGCAGGTGTTTAAGATGACTCTCCCCCAAAAGCCAGCAGGTAGATTCCCTTTTCGGTTAGGATCTCCTTTTAAGGAATTGTGTTCCTGCTAATCTCTTCTTTGCAAGAACCTTTTTAGCAACCCCCTGCGATTTGCAAATTCCTTTTACGTTCTTAGACGGGGAGTAGCGGAGTAAATGCCAGACTCAGAAATTACGTTCAGCAAGCCATTTTGCTTTGAATCGCTGCTGAGGCGAGAGTTTGTTCAGTTCGCTTCTCATGGTCTGGGTACTGCCTCCCCTCATGAACTGTGGGATAATATCTATATTATGATGACGCATAGCCCTCAATGCCCTTAATATGACCCATTGTACACTTCTAATGACAGGACCCAAGTCATATGCTTCTTGAAGGGGGAGGCCACTGCGCCGGCATAAGTGCCCAGGACCACCTCAGACCCCTGGGAGGACCTAGAAAGTAGAACTCCCAATTTGGTACCCTATACTAGTATTGGGCAGTTTCTAGAAACCTATAAGAAGGTTCCACTTTCTAGATCCGCCCAGGGGCTCTTTGGCGACTACTGTCCCTTTGACAGGAGCCGTTGTGAGCTCTTACGCGGGAGTTTCCAAAACGTGGGAGGCCTACAAGCCTCTTTATGGGTACCCCCCCGAAAAGGACTGCTAATTCCTACACCCTATCTAGACATCCCCCCTAAACCCTGGACCAAAACCCTAAACCCTACATGCTCGTATTCATCCCTTTGACTGTTCGTACTTTCTCGCCCAGGACATCTTCGGCACGGGCTGTGTCGAGGTAGCTGCCATTCAGCGACGCTGGGGCTGGGACGAGCAGATGACGCGGGACGCCCTCCTGACTGTGTCATCTCTATTAGGGTACAGGTAGCCAGATAAACATGGGGTTTCATTTAATTAGGGGTACCATTTCACGCGTCGCAATACTAGACCACAGTATTTGGGACATACAACCCCATGTACTCTGTATTTGGGTACTTCGACCTCTAGGAATGGTAAAGGGTCGGATGTAGGGTCATGTTGTTATCAGGGCTGGTGCAATGGCGATTAGCCATGAACGAAAAACATGCGCAAACACATGCGTATTTTGATTGAAGACATGGTACCATCAATGGGAAATGCTCCCTGCATTCTGCTGCAGGTAGCTTGGTTGGGTGTTGGTATGATGTCCTTGTCATGTAGCTGTGACAGGAAAGGTTCCTGGGAATATGAGCCGTCTCGATTCCAATGCGTGGGATACATAGGGTATGTACTAGCATGTTGGCCCTCGTATCCATTCCTTCGCGCGCTCCTGTCCCGGCAGGCCCTCCTCCTTTGAAGGCAGCCCCTGAATTCTAAGCTTTTTTGGACGAAGACAGCTGTAGGACATCATTGCGAAGTACGACGTCTCTGAAGATGGTAGCTCGGCCAGCGTTAACTGAGGGTTGGTTGGCATGTGAGTTTCCCTAAAGACCACTTTCCGGCGTGTTGCTGATCCCTTGAGGGTTCGCCTTAGTGTTTGGGTGCGATTCAGTGTTAAGGGGTTTAGGGTTTAGGTTGAGATTTTGAAATCCAGCGCTTGGCAGTCGGAGATGTAGGGTCCAAGGTTTGCGTTTAGCGATTAAGGGCTCAGGTATGTTATCTACCGTCAATAGTAGACTTATTCTTTAACAGTGGATATAGGTCCCTCTTGGAATTTAGTATTGTCCCTAAAAAGGAACCCATGCCCATTGGATCATTTCGGAGTTGTTGACAGTAGCTCACGTGGATTGTAAATAATGTTGAGGCTTTGTGGCATATCCAGCTTAAACCTAAACCCTAAACCC